GCAAACGACAAAACGGTCTATGTAGGGCCGAAAGGTTCGGTCCATCAGGGCTTGGAACGTGGCAGGAGCGTTCGTCAAGCCGAAGCTCAGCACAGTATACTCGTAATGACCAGAGGGTGTACGAAATGCAGTTTTCGGAATATCTGATTCAGCAATACGGATTTGATTGTACCCCTGCTGTAGGTCAATAGAGCTAAAGAAAGCCGAGCCACGCAGTCTATCCAGTAGATCATCGACCCGTGGGATAGGATAGCGATTTTTAATGGTGGTCGCATTTAAACCCCTATAATCTATGCACATACGCAGAGTCCCGTCCTTTTTACCCACAAATGAAATGGGAGCAGAATACGGGGATGTGCTGGGTCGAATCATACCTTTCCTCAGTAGGTCGGCTACCTGTCGTGTCACCTCATCCAGCTCCAGAGGGCTGAGGCGATACATGGGGCGCGAAACAGGCTGCGCACCAGGAGCCAAAGGTATGGTATGATCTACCAGTCTCATCGGGGGAAGTCCAGGGACCTCACGGAAGATATCTGAGTATTCGTTAAGGAGGGCTTCAACCGCAGGGTCATTTTCAGTGATCTGGGTAACGGCTGTATTCAGTTGCAATTTAGGCCATACTAGCAATCCATGCGCCCCCTTGCGAATCATACGGATAGATGCTTTGCACCCAATGGGTTCAGGCTCAATTCGCTTACAGATAGCGGCAGCAGCAAAATTCACACAGGGTTCGAAGTGCGCAGCACTAGTATTCCCTTCTCCCATCCATTCCACAGTGGTGAAAGGCGCCTTATAACACAAGGTTCCCTTCCGCAACTGCAAGGTGTGGGTCTCATAATTCAGATGAGCCCCATACTGATCAAGGGTAGCGGACCCTAAGATAAACGTGGCTGCATCAGTAAACTTAGGCAGCACATATGGACGGACATTTAGGTGCAAAGGGCCCAAGGATATACGAAGGGAAACTTGACCCAAAATGACCTGCTTACCCCCGTCAGCAAGGGTGACAGATGACCACGATGCCGGTTGAGGTTTTAGTCCGAGTTGCTCAACGATGGACGCAGAAATGAAGTCGTCGCTGGCACCAGAGTCGGCCATGGCAGTTAAAGAATGTCCAGCGACACAAATGCCAATTGACGGGACTCTGGGCCCTGTTGACGCAGCAACTTTTGCACACAGGACTGAAACATGGGGCTCCATGTCAAGGTGCCCCAGGACAAGAGGGGGATCATACCAAACGTCAGCAGTATACGGCAGACCTGGAAGGGAAACAAGTTGACCTGTCATGTCTACACCGTTGAAGAGCTTGCTACCAGCACGAAACTGAAGAACTCGACGCATCCCTATCAGCAAGGAGGCAGCCCTCGGGGATACATGTGCTGGTAACAGGAGACAGGCCGCGGTGTCAGGTCGCTGACGTTTGCAAATACGATAGTAAGCCAGCTGAGACTGAAGTTCTTTGAAAGAGGAAGGGGAAATCCAAACGGTATGCCCACCCAAGTTACTAGAGGTTAGACGCCGTGGAATAGTAAAAAGATTACAGTGCTCATCAAAACCAGGCGAAGTATAAGCACTGGATGGGGCTGCCCTTTTCGGGAGCCGCAGCCGTCATGTGGCCAACACATGCTAAGGTTTTCATTCCTCGTTTAGCACATCGTAAGCTAATGCAGTTTCGTTTATGTTGCTGGGCTTTGGAGGCGAACAGAGCACGAAGGGGCAAGTACCATGTCCCCAGGGGGCAGCGGTTTTGCCACTGTTGTGGTCCTAATAGCCGAATTGAGGATGAAAAACACGTGTTATTGGAATGCCCAGCCTATAATGATATTCGTGCTGAAGAGGGATTCGATCATCAACAGAGTATGTTGGAGGCCATGCAATGGGAACCCGCACGTCTGGCGAGGATGTTGGAACGTATGTGGGCTCACCGAAACTCAATTACCCCCTTTGGACGTTAGTCTGGGCTGATGTGCGGTGTTTTTTCCTTTTTCTCCGTGGCTTTTAGGCGTTGTAGTATTGCCCTTGGGCCCTCGGCTCGTATGGGTAGTCTTACAGGTATGGGGTCACGCACCCCCAACCATGTAACACACACACACACACAAAACCAGGACGAGCAGTATGAGCGTCAAACGAAAAACGCCGTCCAACGGCCTTCTCAACCTGGTTCAAAATGGCCGGTAAAACAGCACGGACAGCATGTCCAACCGGGCAGATAAGGGGTACCGTTCGGGTTTGTAACCCAGGGAGTGCTTCCCTGACACTGTCCTGGGCAACCCCCTATTTTTCCCCGTTCCTAGCTCTCTTCTCTGAAAGCAACGGGCACTCCGCTACTAGGTGCTTATCCTCCCCACAGTGGAGGCAACGGCTATTTTTCCGGCGGTACTCGTACTCTGCCCGAGTGCAGTAAAACTTATTCATCCATTCGGCCGGATTTGAATCCCGGCCACGCTTGCCTAGCACCGTCACTCCTGTTCCTGCGGCAGCGGCCCTGGGCCGACCCTTGTCCCTATGCTTGCCACCCCGACCCCTGCACCCACGGTTCGACTCACCAGCACCGGAGGCCTGGCGAGCTGTATTCCGCCCAGCGGCAACAGTAGCAGCCCGAGGCCTGACCTCCGGTGCCGGGAGGTCCCCGTCGTCAGTGATGATGGGCGCGGGATCCTGCACAGTGGTGGAAGCACGCAGAAGCACGCGGGTTTGGGCTTGAGAACGAAGTTTAGCAAGTTGACGGGCCTCAACACCAAGTGTATGCTGCACAAGTTTTGCATATTCCTGGAAAGGCTTACCGTCACGATCGGTCGCACATTCTCCTGAAAACTCAGCGGAAAGGCCGCGGATAAACCAGGAAATCCGATCAACCTCCCTTAAGTCAGGAATGGGTGCTATGAGTGCCTCGAAACGACTATGGTACGCGGCTACCGTTTCGTTTGCCCGCATCTGATGCTGCCCAGCAGCAAGCTTTTCTAGCGCTTCTAGTTCGCGTGTTTGAATCTGTGGGGCAAAACGAATTAATAGCGCCTCCAAAAGTTGCTCTGAAGTATATTGCAACCGCGCGTTAGTCCAGTCATCATGCCAGGTTTTCGCGGCGCCTTCAAGAGCGTTAGCTAAAAATAAGCAACGGATACTGTCATGATTTCCGCCCCGCACGAAATCAAAATACTTCCGGACATCGCGGACAAAGGCGCGGACTCGTGGCGCAACTTCCCGCGATAATTCACTAAGCTTAATATCTGCAGGAATACTGAGCCTAGGTACCGGAATATTAATTCTGATCACCTCATCACTAGCCCCAGCGGGCAAGCCGCGCTCAGTAGCGACGTTGTTCCATCACCGGCGGTCGTCCCGGTGGCGCGACCCGCGATGTGTTCCACTGCAGGAATCGGAACATCGGATGAGGGATTATTCATATTTATCAATTGGTTACTGGTATTCAGGGCAATAGGCGGCGGCGGGACAGTTCCATTGGTCATATCGATAGCGGAGGGCAATCCCCAACGACTTCGCCTAGACTGCTCCATTTACAACTATCCTGACCCAGATCAGGCAGACCGCGTACCCAAGTAAAGAGAACTGTCAATATTTCTGGAAGTCTGTTCTAGCACCGAACGGGTGCTACGAAGCTCTTGACAGAGCCTCCGGCAAAGGGCAGGGACCGCCGAAGGAACTGGCGGTTCGGAGCCTGCAGCAGCCTTACCGCTATTAACCCAAAATTCTAGAAAACGTCAGCAAACAGATTTGCTAAAGTAGTTTACAGACCGGCGGCAGCGACTTCGCGGACAGCATCGCCAAGAGCGTCGACGATTGTAGCCAAAGGTCCGGTGACGTCGTCGACCTCCATCCGCGCGCCGGTAGAAGTGGGAATCTTGATGGCAAAAGGGGGATCTTGAAAATTTCAGATATGCGAGAGGCCCCGGGAGGAACCGTCTCGATACCAGACTTGTTGTATCTTACTAAACCACAACTGGATGGTGGTGTCGGAAGACACCGATTTGGAAGAGTTTCACCCGCTTAAATAGTGGAGGATGCGGCCATCCCATGAATCGTACAGCCAATTCCGAAAAGGCGCGGTCCAGTCCGGAATGGCGTACCGTTGATCCATGCTTCCAATCGATGACGGGGCTCCGCGAGCCAGGGACCAGCGTCCCAGTCGTAGCCTGTGCTACGACCCCCGCCCATACTTCTGCAAGTATGGACTTCCGCCTGAGGCGGCGTTTACTTGTTGGCATCCATGACAGCTTCCCGCTCGCCGTCTGACCCAGAGGTCGGAGCCATAAAGATCTGACAGAAAAGCAGCAAAATAGGCAGTTGGAATTCAGTTAGTTCCAGCGAACTTGTCCAGTAACCGCGCCAAGCGAGAAAGGAAAAATTAGACAGAAAATGTATCAGTTTGGGCCCAGATTTAAGAAGCGGAATACAACAGGAAGCTAACTTCGCCCACACATGTATCTGAATTAAATCCATTGGTCCATAGAGAACTAGAACAGCTTTTAGAAGCAATTTTAATCGGGTTGAAATAAGATGAAATATTACTCCATGACTGACTGACTGACTGACTGACTGACTGACTGACAGCAGTGAACCTAGGGGGCTCGGCCCCCCGAAAGGCGCTTCGCGCCCGGGGCCTCGCCCAGAAATCAGGGATAAAAGGGGTCTACCAATCCGTGAAGTCAGGATCCTTCAAGCAATCCATAAGTTGGTGGCTGGCTTACAGATACGTGTCTAATGCGTTTACCGATACATGCCGTTTTTATGGCAGAAAGGTCCTAACCCTCCATGTTTGCATTACATCCACCGAACTTACTTCACACTATTACCATTTTTGTACGTCAATTAAGGATCGCGATGCTTTGTGTACACTAATTTGGCTTCCATATTTTTGACGTATTTTGGCTTCCGTATATTGGGCCAGCTTTTACGGCGGACGGGCTGATCTGACCTGCAAGTATCATACTGTGACCTCCATGATGGTGATGAGTTTTTTCCCAATGCACATCCCCTTACAACTGTAGCATTATGCTTATCTGTACATGCTCCACAGGACGTAGAAGATGGCAACCTGCATGTATGAATATATGTTTTCTTCTTGCTCCGTTGGTTACTTGCCTATTTCATACAGGTTCCGTTTTCCAGCAAGCATTCTACAAGAAGGCTGTTTATTACTGCATTGACCTGTTCTGGGGTCGGTTCGGCGGTGATTGGGAGGCGGTATACGCCCGGTGGAGCACTGCCCTGGGTATTCCCGACTTGGACAAGAATGCCTGGGCGGACTCCTGCCCCAGGGATCCTGGATACGATGAGCTGGGCAACCACATGGCCTACAACACACCGGCATGCTTAGCTGCCCTTGGACATCTCACACCGGAGCAAGTCCAATTTGCCAAGTACAGGATGTCAGAATACAATCCTGTGATGTATGCATGGGCCCAGTACTACGCGTACAGAGCTTCTCCACCGCCGCCTCAGGCATCCCCGCCACCATTGCCTGCCAACACCAGTTGCATGGTGGGTGCTTCTTATAGCCATCGGTTGAGGCTACTTCATACCTTTATTGCATGTTTTCAATTTGGAAGGAGGAGAGCCCATTCTTGAAACCATGCTGCTAGTTACCTATGATTACAATTATCAACATAAATGCTACAGGGCAAACAGACGCATGAATAGTTCTACGTAGCTAGAAGTGAGAAGAAACTCCTACTGTTTGTCTGCTGTCTATTTGTGCACGCAGTTTTCCGATGAGTTCGGTTGCCCCTGCAACAGCAGTTGGGTGTTCGACGGCGAGAGTTACTCCTACTGTGACCGTGTGCCTGGATACGAGACGTTAATGTGAGTTAGCGCAAATCCAGATCGGAGCATCCATCCATGTGGGAACACCATGCCACGTGAAGGAAGACAGTCTTACTGAGACATGCTTGGCTCTGGATGGTGCGCTTTCAGAATGTGCATGCACCTTCTTGTATATTTATGTATGTATATGGGCGGCACGACTTCACGTGAGAGGAGATTTCAGTAATATTCTAAGAAGCATCCAAACATGCATGTACGCTCTACTGTCTGCAGTACCCATCGCTAAGGCGCTCCACCAGCATATTACAATATTGTAGTAGCTGGTGGCTGAAAAGGCCTATCAAGATGCTGGTGGAGGACCTTAGCGTGTACTTGTATACATGTTGCTAGACGATACTTCAGCAGCCATGGATCTGTATTTAACTTGACTTGGCTATACCTACCTTATCGAGCTTTACCATAAAACAATGTGATACGTATTGAATTTACTTGCGCCATCCTGCTGCTGCTGGGCACGCTCCTTTTATTTCCATTACGGTTGCGTGTGTTGGCGGGTCTACTGCAGTGCTCGCTGTTAGCGAATGCCATGCTGAATTATCTGCATGCATAATTAATTAAATGCTGTACTTCTAAGAAATCATGCATACATGGAATAGCCAAAGTCCTTTGCTGTTTCTCCACGTAGCTTATAAATTAGGAACATGTACACACGCACATACAGATAGACAAACACGCTTGTTGCACGCATATATTTCCATGTACATTTATCCAAGCATAGGGATCCCTTGCAGGTGTATGGTGGCCGACCCTAGCAGCTGCATCTCCTGCAGTAAGAGTCCTTGCTTGCTAAGCTGTGCCGGTAGGTGCCTGTTTCCATTTATTCAGTGCTTCACTACGGTAGTAGCTGGCCGCTTTTAAGGCCTCTCGAGAGGCTGGTGGAGCACCTTAGCGTGTATTTGTATACGACATGTCGGCCAATCGAAATATCACGTATGATAATTAACACTTAGATCGCTTGATTCATTTTCGACAGGAATGACTGAACTTGCTGCTCTATGCTTGCTTGTTAGTTTTATTATACATGTCGGCATGACCAGTCCTTATAATGCAAGTCAAGGTGTAGTGCACACAAACATTCCCGAATACAGCGGTATGACCAGTTCATATACAGAGCTGCTGCTGCCTGCTGCAAGCAGGCATACATGCCCAGCCCGCTCCGAATCCCGCAGCTCTTGCTTCCTTTGGCGTTTGACGCTCGCTCTGGCATTCACAATGACGGTTTCGCAACGCATCCAGGCACTTCGGAGCTATGCAGGAAGCCATCAGCGCCACGGGAACTGCTGCCGCCACCGGGGCCACCTCCACCTCCGTTTCCGCCATCACCACCACCGAAGCCACCTCCACCTCCCCCGGAAAGTATTCCTTCAAGCTGCAAGGTATGTTCGTACACATGAGAGCTTTACAAGAATTGCAATCCTACTATCTAGCTGTAGTAGCTGGCCGCTAAAAAGGCCTCTCGAGATGCTGGTGGTCGTGCTACGCGCGTATTTATAGAGCCGTACTGTGTACCAGCTACTACACTAGCGCTAGTGTAGCTAGCTGTTTGCTGGTATTAGATTTGGCCTGTGCTGGAGACATGACACTCCACCTTATCCGTCATCATGCTGAATCTACCACCCACGATTTAATCTACTGCAGATATCGAGTCATAATTGCACCTGCCGCAGCAGCTGGACGACTATCATTAGCCGCAATAGTGTTTACGGCCACTACTGCTCACCAGTTCCTAATAAACCAACGCTTGGGTGCGTGGGCCTGCGTGTGTTACTTGGCAGTGTATTGTGAATTGATGTGGGAGTGACCTTGTTTGTCTGCATGAGTAGGTCACTTAGCGGTCCCTCGGCGCGGTGATCAAGCGAGCCAATGGAGGCATGTACACAAACGACACCCTTGTGGCCAAGTGATTGAGCCATGCATGCATGGGGCTGGTTGATAGCCACCGCTACAGCTGTCTTTGCACGGCACCTCTTAACTTAAAATACCTATTAGGCATATTTAAAGTCCTATTAGGTATTTTAAGTTAGAGGCGCCGTATAGAGCAGTGCAATTACATTGCGACACAATCGAGAAAACTCGCGATGCACAGCATATTTATATGCATATGCATATGCAGAGACCTTTTCAACGACAACCTGCAAGTTACAGTTACATGCATTGTGTAGTAGCCAGCTGCTGAAAAGGCCGCTGGAAAACTGCTCCCGGATGGAGCACCTTAGCGCGTATTCGTAAACAATATATGTGCCATCGTGCTGTGGAGGTATGTATCACTGATATTCCCACACATGTGCATAGATACAAAGGCAGGGAAGCTTCCCATAAGATCCCGCCATCCCATTATTAGACCCAACTCTGCAAACATGACAGACCGAGTTGCGAGGCCACTATATGCTATGATCCGCTAGGCGGCCGTGGCTGAGACTCATGTCTCTGTGTGTTGTGTGCTACATGCTCGTATAATCATGGATGTGTAGATAGGACAATATTTACCATTATAGGTCAGGCACTACTAGTTAGTTACAAGTGCCGCACGAGTGCGGGGGGGTCCGTCAAAGCCGGGAGGCCATGGACTATATATATTGAAAGTTGATTACACCGTACGACCGACGGCGGTTTGGGTCCTGCCATCTAGACCCCTCCTCATCCATTCACCCAACATCCGTAGAGACAGATCAGCCACCACCACCATCTCAGCATGCGAAACTTAGTCCATCAACTAGACCTCATCTCCACACCTCGGCAGCGTTAGTAAACCTAGACCTGCCGAACAATGTCGGGGGCCTGACCAGGAATCGAACCCGGAACCTTCATATACTCAAAGGCGCCACCAGACCAGACTGATAACACACATGCCCCCGGAGGTTCCGGGATCGAGACCTATCAGCTGCAGGGTCAAAACTCCTTCCGATGGTGGAAGGTAAGAGTGCCCCTAGTCGATGGACGGTGATGTCCTGGGATAAAGTAAACCTGCAAGCTGACAAGGAACGGAGTTGGGCCGCCGTTGATCCGGCAGAATCCGTCGGATGCCGGTGGTGGGTGCTGAACCTGAGCGATCCACTGAGAAGTCGGCTAGGGTGATTGGATGAGGGTGCCCCGAAATACCGGGGAAGGCAGGTTTCGCCTGGTAGTGGCCACGGGTGAAGATATGCCCCCCTGTCCCACACATCACACCATCATGATTGTAGGCCAAGAAGTTAATAAGCCGAGGATGGCCAGATAGAACCATAATCCTCCGTGTACACCACAAATTCACCCAGAGCCCATCCCAGAAAGTCATAAGGCTCTCTTTTTATTACACCTTGATTTTGTGCCGCAGTTGCGTCGTGACACCGTCCTGCCCAACCTTCTTGGAGAGCCCTTTCCAGCTTTGCGACAGAACACTGAATGCCACCTACTGTGCCGGTAAGTATGCACCATACATACGTGCATGTTTTCATCGCTGTAGCCTGCTGATTGGCCAATTGGACGGTTTAAATTTATCATGCATGTTTGTGCATTGCCATGTATGCAGTGACGGGATAGGGATGAATGCAGCCGCACCTAATTGTAGGGCTCCGCAGTGCCTACCACCATCCACAGCATTGGATGAGGCCTACAAGTTGGGGAGTGTATAAGGACTATCCATTTTCAGGCCTATCCATGGTAGCATAGCGTAATCTATGGACTACAGCTATGGTGTATAGGTTGTTGTCTTTGTCTAAACCGTAATGAACCTGTTATCTTGAAGGCAATATCAATTATAACATGGCTCAGTCGTATAAACAAACCATGAAAATGTACAGAAGGCTACTGGGGCTTAATTAACGCAAGGATGTGAATTGACAACTTGGCAACACTCTATGTGCTGTATATGTCCACGTTCCAATGCAGGTACACGGGCAACGAGGCCACCACCACCACCCCGTCTGAGATCCCCTAAGACCCCACGGCTAGCAACGACACGGAATAACTAGATATCCTGGACAGCCGGTCATGCAACGGATGCAGCGGATGGAGCCGACGGACACACATACAGCTCAGCTAGCAGCAGCGGGATAGCGCATGCCTTTTACGCTCCAAGCCATGACATAATGTACAGCTTAATTTAATACTTAAAACACGATATATCAATTGTCAAATGTGTGTCGGGTATTGAGTCGAGTTTTAAGTATTAAATTTAGCTATACACAGACACACATATATATATGTCTTCTGTGGCATATTGCTAGTGTATACCCGAAGAATCTCCCAGCCAGTTGCTGCTCTATTATGGCACGCATTTATGTGCGCGCTGACAAGCAGCTGCAAGAGGAAGAAAGATCGCTCCGAGCTCGCTGTAAATGAGTCGAGTTATAGGGCGGGACAAATCTTTCAGGATTTGTTTAGGCCACGTGTATGGTCGGTGGCCATGCTTTATCAATAACTTCGGGAGCAAGCTGCGTGTAATGCTCCGTTTTCAGAACTTTTTCCATATATAATCTTCTTCGTCGTTTTAGTCGGATATACGTTATGGAGTGCTATAAGAGTACTGAATTGTTAATAAACGTGCAGTAATTCATTCAGGCATGGGGAGGCGAGTAATAGTGCATCTGCTGGTCGGTTGGTTCGCCCGGGCGTTTGCTGCTGTAAGACCTCTTTGTCTTTGTCTAAACCAAAATGAACATGTTATGTAAGTGAAAATGTTTTTGCCATCTATTATTTCATCACTTGTACATATGCTCTACCACAGCAAGTCTGTACGAAATCCATATGGAATGCATGTTCATCATTACATGCTGCGCCAGAACCCGCCCGACCATTTGGTCGAAACGACTCCCTTGCTCTCAGCTCTCCCCCAAACGCCTTATTGCCGTAATGTTTTAATCACCTATAGGCGACGCTCTCGTATAATAGGTGATCAAAATTATTATTGACGATGGGCAGGCTTAGGCCTACAAACGCGTAGCGTGCGTTCTTTAGTTGGTGCTCAGTTTGCTTTTTAAGAAGAATGCGATTGTTACAGTGGACCCCGAACGGGTCGAGTGCAGCGCCCCTAGGAACGCCTCCCGCACAAGACTGCCCCTCGCAAAAACGTGATGCATGGACGAGCGACCCGAATAAACAGTCGTACACATCCAAAATGCGAAGGCCACGGCGGGCCGCGCAAAAGCCAGGAGCGACGGGATGCGCATATGTGTGTGAAAGTCGCGGGCGTGCGGTGATTTGGCTAGATTGGCTGCTGCGCGGGCCGGCCAGCGGGTTGCCCCCGCTACTGCGAAACGTCATGGCGAGGAATGGGGGTGGGCGCGTCCGCATTTCTCTTGGCATGCAGAAGTCCACAGAACAATCAGGGATCTAGCCGATACCGAAACGTGCGGAAACGGGAACCTGCGGAAATAGGCTTCTTCCCGCTTCCCGCAGCCAGAGCCTAGAATGACGGAAGTGCGGAAAGAGAATTAGCATTTCCGCTTTGCAGTACGGCGGAAAGTGGAAAACAGATCCCACGCCTGCGTTTGCCGCATGATATGAGTGCTTACGTCAATTGATATTGCTTTAGGGTTAATATCTGCAATCACTGCCCTCGACCTTGGGGCTTAAAGAGATTGACTGTGTTTCAGCTCAAAAGAAGGGTGGACGGCCTGCTACCGACGTTTGCAAGTATATAGAGAAAGGACCTTATGACAAGATCAAGAACTGATCTTCACCCTGCAAGGGCTGCCGTCGCCAATGTGGATGGTGTGCCCTATGGCATAAAACGAGGGGTAACCCCCCCTTAAGCATCCCCTTGGGCTGGGATTCTGGGATAAATGAAGTTACCAACGTACGCGTGGCCTCTTCATTTCTGTTCTCCTGGATGGTTGATATGGGAAGGCGGAAACAAGTTGCTAAGGGTCCTTACACTGCCGAAAAACACAACCCCAGCCCCACGGCCACTATACCCCCCTCGTGCTGCCCACCAATGCCCTCAGCGGGGCAACACGCGCATGACGCATAAACCTATCCAAAGAACTTCGAACGACTCTCAGACTCTCATGTGGCGACATCTATAGAGGTAGCTACCTCCTGAACCCGGGAAAATCCCTGCAGGTTAAGCTGACTAGTTTCCCCCTACACCAAGCACTATCCCTTCTGAGCTCTCAAGGCCACACTACTGGGCTAAAAGACTCGACCGAACCAACCCCGTCCCGGCCCGCCGGCTGTCCAGCCGCCCCTCAGCGGCCGTTTGCCACAAGCCTGCAGCTGGCAGAGCCTGGCGCGGAGGTGTCTGCGATTGACCGGCGAAGAAGGGAAAGGGAAACTTGTTAATCCACGATTGATTTCTTTTCAGAACTAGCCAGAGACACAATGGATTTCAAGCTAAATTGCGTTCCCCAATCCACTTCGAACTGTATGAATGCGAATGAATAATCTTATTAGGGACAATAATATTAATACGGCACGGGAGTTTCATGCCCTCAAAGCGGGAACAAACGCTAAAACTGAATACATACATAGTTCTAAATCTTCTACTAAAATTTTCCTGTAGCGTTAGAGGCCTTTAATTCATATTGGCGAACGATGCTTCCCGAGCTACCGGGATACTGTAGGTTCAACATGTACATGTAACATGTACATTTACAGAAATGTACTAAAAAGAATTCACGAAGTGCGCAGCAAATAAGATGAGTAGCCTATAGGCCCATGTCCATAGTCCAGGGCAACGGAGGGGGTTACCCTGGGGCCGTGTTACCCCTCCTGCTGGGTAGGAACTTACAAGGGGGTTACCAATGGGCTACGGGGGGTTGAAGGTGGGTAACCGATGGGTAACCCATGGGTTACCGACCCAATCAGTGCCTTAGGGGTGGGACACACGCGAGTACCCGCCACATCCGGAAATCCCTCTTAGGAACCCCTTCTTACGAGTAAGCGGTATCCGCCACATTTTAGATCCCACGAGACTGAATCGCATTGCTAAGAGGAGCTGTTCATGGATGACCGGCCCTATTTTGGCCACAGGTCGCGTCATAGAACTGCAGGAATACGGCCCGCCTACAGGCCCGAATGCACTGCAATTTTACAGAATTATAATAAACCTTCCAAAATCATGCTAACAAATTTCCAAAATATAATTTACGAAATCGCCTCCTAGTAAAAGGCAAGAAATGCTGGTCATCCGTGAACAGTCCCAAGAGCGTGCTGTTCACAGATGACCGGCCCTATTTCCCTTTTATTGCCACTTACTAGCAGGAGGCGATTTCCTTGATGGTGTAGTATTTTGGAAATCTGTTAGCATGGTTTTGGAAGGTTTATAATCTTAATATAATATTGTGAAATTGCAGTGCATTCGGGCCTGTAGGCGGGCCATATTCTTGCAGTTCTATGACGCGGCCTGTCAGGGAACGAGCCGAAACTTGACCAGGTTTGCGGAATCTTTTCGTATTCGGGAGCCCCTTTGCGGAAAGGCTGCGGAAACTGCGGAAAGCTGCGAAAACTATAAAATGATTATGTAACGATGTTTTTTAGCTCTTCTCAGTGTGGCGATGACATGGACAGTCTGAAACCAGCTTGTGGCAGTGCGGTTCTGTCCGGTGGGATCTAGAATCTGGTGTATTCCAATCGTGCTCGAAGGTAGAGCCATCTAAACGTATTACTGGGGGTGGCGGGGGCCAAGCGATCAACTATTGTGTGCCCACACCCTTGACGGTGTTCACCCTGCCCCCTTCAAGCAGCCCGCCTCTCTTTGAACCCTGAGACCCCAGGCCTGATCGTATACCACACCCATAGTGTTATTGGCTGACGGATTGCTCTGGGATGCTCATGAATTGCCACTCATATGTTACATGGGGTAAGGGCCCGGGGAGCCCTGAAACACTGAATAACAATCCCGGGTATGTTAGTGACGTTCCAGATTTAGACCAACTGACAGCACTGCAGGAGTTCATGGGCTTACCGGGGGACACGGACCCCCAGGGCTACACAGACGTGCCCGGACGTAGGAGTGAAGACCTTGTCTGCAATTTCGCTGGGCACCAGTTGGGCGCCCTGTGCCGATCACAAGGGCTGCTGGTATTAAATGGCCGTGTTTCTGGGGATTTAGAGGGTCGTCTGACCTTCCCCAAGGGTGAAGCAGGTGGGAGCATGATTGATCTTTTCGTAGGTTCGGCCGGTGTTCTCCGCCATGCCTATTGGATGCGAGTGGGCGAGCTACTCGCGCCAGATGGTTGGTTCCCGACTGACCACCGTCCAGTGACGCTAGTGCTTGGTCTAGCTGTAGGAGGAACTGGGACGAGTGCCAAAGGGTGCTGCCAAAAGAAGCGAGCAGTGTTTGAGATTTCCCGTTATCGTGACTATGCTGCTCTGTTCACTGATGGATCCCAGGTCATGCATGCACTAAATGGGGTGATCACGGACCTATCGAATGGGGCCTGCAACAGCACGGAGTCGGTGGAGCGCATTAGTACCCTCCTGCGGAAGGTGCTGATTCGAGTATTTGCGGGTCGCAGGCCTGAGGGTATGCAAGCGGGGGGTGGTGCATTATGGTGGAACGAGGAATGCCAAAGCGTCCGGCAGCACATGCTTGCCTGCAGGGTGCGGCTTGGCCCTGGCAGGGTCGAGAATAAGTCAGGCCCCTTGTGGGAAGCATTCTGCAAGGCACGTAACGCAATGAACCGTGCCAAACGTCGTGCCCGAGCAGCATATGATGCAGAGAGAATGCGTGAGTTCGTGGTAAGGTGCAGGCACGATCAGCGCGCACTATGGCGGGCCTTGGGAGGGCAACTCAAGGAGCGTTGCGCGATTGATGACTTGCATGTATTTCGGGATCATTTTGCCACCTTGTTAAATGCAGGGGTTGGGGAGACGGGTGTTGAAGATGCACATCGACTCCTTAACTATATCTCCTTTTTTGGGGCCCCTTTGGGAGAGGGTGCTTGGCAAGCTTGTCGGACTGTCATGGACAGGAGAGCACGGGCAGCTAGCATCCTGGACGAGCCTTTCACCTTGGAGGAGGTAGCACGTGCTGTCGGTAGGTTACCAAACGGAAAGGCTCACGGGCTTGAGGCCATACCATCGGAATGCTACCGTTATGCACGCCTCCCACGGGTGGATGAGCAGGGCAGGCAGGGAACGGAGGTGAACTGTATCGTCCCAGTGCTGCACGTTTTGTTAGAGCACATCAGGGCAACTGGTGATTTTCCACAGCAGTTTACCAAAACGGTGGTATCCCCTATTTTGAAGAAGGGTGACCCGTTGGTGGCAGGAAATTATCGGGGCATTGCAGTTGGAGGAGCACTTGCGAAATGCTATGCGTCAGTGATCCTTAACCGCCTGGTACGTGCTGGGGAAATACTGGACCTGCGGCACCCATGCCAAGCGGGTTTCAGGCGGGGCTTTGGCACTGCTCACCACCTCTTTGTCAAGCAACACCTGGTCAGGCGGCATCGGATCGCGGGACAACCGCCGT